ACTGATCTAGCCAACCTGATTTAGAGCCATTCCAGCTTCCTCATTGAGGCTGGGGGTGAGGAGTCATGGTAAGAGCACAGCCCAGGGAGTAATGATCTGGTATGTGTTGGTGTGTGTGTGTGTATGTGTGTGTGTATTTGTATGTGTGTATGAATGTGCCTGTGGAGTGGGAACAGTCTTAAGAGCAGGGGTATATGGTCCAATATCTTCCAAGTTGACTCTTATAATACAGAGGCCAGAACTCAATCCCCTGATGGGATGGTACTCAGCAGTAGCAGCATTTCAGTTTATAGGATCCCTTTGCAGGTAGATTATAAAATACAAGAAGTACATATTGTGGGTGAGTGACTCCTTTTTCTTGAAGTTCAACCAGCAGAGAAGACACCTATTTCTTTGAAATTGCATGAAACTATCTCCCATCACTTTCCTGCTTACTCCCCTTCCCACACTTGCTTCATTTTTTGGACTCAGGTAGCTCAAAATAGTATAATCTTCAGGGGCTCTGCAGAGGCTATTCCCTCTGCCAGCACACACTTCCCCAGACATACTCATGGCTCCTTCCCTCTCTTCCCTGGGGTCTTTTTTCAAATGTCACATTATTTATTGGTCTTGCCTGAACACCAATTACAAAATGACACTCAACTATTCCATCCCATTCAGTTTTCCCTCCCTTCTCTATGATTCTCTGTGCTCTTTCTTATAATCCCCATATGAGTGAAATCATATAATAATTATATTTCTCTAATTGACTTATTTTTCTTAGCATAATACCCTCCAGTTACATCCATGTCAGTGTAAAAGGTAAGTGTTCATCCATTCTGATCGCTGAATAAAATTTCATTGTACATATATACACCATGTCTTCTGTATCCATTCATCTTTCAACTGACATCTCAGCTCTTTCCACACTTTGGCTCTTGTGGACATTGCTGTTATGAAATTGGGGTACAAGTGCCCCTTTGGATCACTACATTTGTTTCTTTGGAGTGAATACCTAGTAGTGCAATTACTGGGTTGTATGGTAGCTCTAGTTTTAACTTCTTGAGAAACCTCCATACTGTTTCCCAGAGAGGTTGTAGCTGCTTGTATTCCCACCAACAATATAAGAGCACTCCCCTTTCTCGACATTCTTGCCAACATTTGCTTGTTAATTTTAGCCATTCTGACTGGTGTGAAGTGGTATCTCATTGTGATTTTGATTTGTATTTCCCTGATGGCAAGTGATGTTGAGCATTTTCTCAAGTCTGTTGGTCATTTGTATGTCTTCCTTGAAGAAATATCTGTTCTTGTCTTCTGCCCATTTCTTGACTGGATTTTTTGTTTTTGGGGTGTTGAGCTTCATAAGTTCTTTCTACATGTTGGATACTACCCTTTCTCTGAAATGTCATTTGCAAATATATTCCCCCATTTGTTAGTTGCCTTTTGGTTTTCTTGACTGTTTCCATTGCTGTGCAAACCTTTTTTTTTGTTAATAATAAATTTATTTTTTATTGGTGTTCAATTTGCCAACATACAGAATAACACCCAGTGCTCATCCCATCAAGTGTCCCCTTTCAATCCTGATGAAGTCCAATTGTTCATTTTCACCTTTTTTCCCTTCCCTTTGGAGATGTGTCTATCAAGAAGTTGCTAAGCCAGGGTCACAGAGGTTGATTCCTGTATTCTCCTTTAAGATTTTGATGGATTCCAGTCTCACATTTAGATCTTTCATCCATTTTGAGTTTGTATGGTTTATGAATGGTTTAAGAAAATGGTCCAGCTACATTTTTTTATATGTGGCTGTCAAATTTTCCCAGCACCATTTACTGAAGACTGTCTTTTTCCCCATTGAATATTCTTTCCTGCCTTCTGGAAGATTAGTTGACCATAGAGTTGAGGGTCCATTTCTGGTTCTCTTTTCTGTTCCATTGGTCTATGTGACTGTTTTTATTCCAGTATCATACTGTCTTGATAATTACAGCTTTATAATATAGCTTAAAGTCAGTCATTGTGATGCCACCACCTTTGGTTTTCTTCTCAACATTCCTCTGGCTATTCAGGGTCTTTTCTGGTTCCATGTGAATCTTAGGATTATTTGTTCCAGCTCTGCAAAAAAAATGTTCATGGTATTTTGTTAGGGATTGCATTGAATGTTCATTAAGTAGGCATATGATGTAATGAGCACTGGGTGTTATATGTAACTGCTAAATTATTGAACACTATATCTTAAACTAAGTGTATACTTTCTATGAGCTAACTGAATTTAAATTAAGAAAGCACTTGTATCCATTCTCTCCTTAATATCTACTTTTGTTCTCTTAATAGCACTTGCCACCCACTGATGTTTTGTTAATATTTTTGTCTGTGTTCTCTCTCCATCATTGGATTTTTAGTGGCTGTTGGCCATGTCTATGTCTTCCTCTGTGAGATTTCTCTTCATGTCTTTTGCTCATTTCATGGTTGGATTGTTTGTTTCTTTGGTGGTGACTTTAAGAAGTTCTTTATAGATCTTGGAAACTAGCCCTTTATCTGATATGTCATTTGCAAATATCTTCTCCCATTCTGTAGGTTGTCTTTTAGTTTTGTTGTCTGTATCCTTTGCTGTGCAAAAGCTTCTTATCTTGATGAAGTCCCAATAGTTCATTTTTGCTTTTGTTTCTTTTGCCTTCGTGGATGTATCTTGCAAGAAGTTACTGTGGCCAAGTTCAAAAAGGGTGTTGCGTGTGTTCTCCTCTAGGATTTTGATAGAATCTTGTCTCACACTTAGATCTTTCATCCATTTTGAGTTTATCTTTGTGTATGGTGAAAGAGAGTGGTCTAGTTTCATTCTTCTGCATGTGGATGTCCAATTTTCCCAGCACCATTTATTGAAGAGACTGTCTTTCTTCCAGTGGATAGTCTTTCCTCCTTTATCGAATATTAGTTGACCATAAAGTTGAGGGTCCACTTCTGGGTTCTCTATTCTGTTCCATTGATCTATGTGTCTGTTTTTGTGCCAGTACCACACTGTCTTGATGACCACAGCTTTGTAGTACAACCTGAAATCTGGCATTGTGATGCCCCCAGATATGGTTTTCTTTTTTAAAATTCCCCCTGGCTATTCGGGGTCTTTTCTGATTCCACACAAATCTTAAAATAATTTGTTCTAACTCTCTGAAGAAAGTCCATGGTATTTTGAGAGGGATTGCATTATACGTGTAAATTGCCCTGGGTAACATTGACATTTTCACAATATTAATTCTGCCAATCCATGAGCATGGAATATTTTTCCATCTCTTTGTGTCTTCCTCAATTTCTTTCAGAAGTGTTCTCTAGTTTTTAGGGTATAGATCCTTTACCTCTTTGGTTAGGTTTATTCCTAGGTATCTTATGCTTTTGGGTGCAATTGTAAATGGGATTGACTCCTTAATTTCTCTTTCTTCAGTCTCATTGTTAGTGTATAGAAATGCCACTGACTTCTGGGCATTGATTTTGTATTCTGCCACACTGCCAAACTGCTGTATGAGTTCTAGCATTCTTGGGGTGGAGGCTTTTGGGTTTTCTATGTAGAGTATTATGTCATTGGCGAAGAGGGAGAGTTTGACTTCTTCTTTGCCAATTTGAATGCCTTTAATGTCTTTTTGTTGTCTGATTGCTGAGGCTAGGACTTCCAGTACTATGTTGAATAGCAGTGGTGAGAGGGGACATCCCTGTCTTGTTCCTGATCTTAGGGGAAAGGCTCCCAGTGCTTCCCATTGAGAATGATATTTGCTGTGGGCCTTCGTAGATGGCTTTTAAGATGTTGAGGAATGTTCCCTCTATCCCGAAACTCTGAAGAGTTTTTTTTTTTTTTGAAGAGTTTTGATCAGGAATGGATGCTGTGTTTTGTCAAATGCTTTCTCTGCATCTAATGAGAGGCTCATATGGTTCTTGTTTTTTCTCTTGCTGATATGATCTATCACATTGATTGCTTTACGAGTGTTGAACTATCCTTGCATCCTGGGGATAAATCCTACTTGGTCATGGTGAATAATCTTCTTAATGTACTGTTGGATCCTATTGGCTAGTATCTTGTCGAGAATTTTTGCATCCATGTTCATCAGGGATATTGGTCTGTAATTCTCCTTTTTGGTGGGGTCTTTGTCTGGTTTTGGAATTAAGGTGATGTGAGGGCGATCTGGCTGCGACATCAGTCACCCTATTGATCGCCAGTGTTGATTCGGCTGATCTGGCTGGCTAGGCGGGTGTCTCCTTCCTCCCTCACCGCTCCATGTGTGTCCCTCCCGAAGCTGCGCCCTGGGTCGAAGAGGACGACCATCCCCGATAGAGGAGGACCGTTCTTCGGTCAAGGGTATAGGAGTAGCTGCGCTCCCCTGCTAGAACCTCCAAACAAGCTCTCAAGGTCCATTTAGTGGCTTTTTATTTCAGGATCCTGTACTCATTGGCTAGACATTGCCTGGACCATGTTTGACATTCAATACATATTTCTCACATGTTTAAAAGGCATCCTAATAAAACAGTAGAATGCATGACATCTGTAGGGGAATGGGGAAAATGAGACCAAATGCTTAATCAGAAATGAAACAGGAGGGAATCCTTTCAAAGGGAAAATCCCTACACAAGATACTGAAATTAATTTCTCTATTTTTAAAAGATTTTATTTATTTATTTGAGAGAGAGAACATGCTGGGGAGGCACAGAAGGAGAAGGAAAGGAGACTCCCCACTGAGCAAGGAGCCCAACAATGCAGGGCTACATCTAGGACCCAAAGATCATGACCTGAGCCAAAGGCAGACGCTTAACTACCTGAGCCACACATGTGCTCCCTTAGATTAATTCCTTGACTGAAAAATACAAGTTGTTGCATGTCAAACACGTGAGCAATCCCCTACATGTGAAAAATTAATGTTTTTTTCCTCTTTCCTTGTAGTCAGTGCAACCACATGCAACCAGAAAATGATACATGGGTATCAGAATTCCTTCTTCTGGGATTATCAGAGGAACCAGAACTTCAGTCCATCATATTTGGGCTTTTCCTCTCCATGTACCTGATCACTGTGTTTGGAAACCTGCTCATCATCCTGGCCATCAGCTCTGACTCCCATCTCCACACTCCCATGTACTTCTTTCTTGCCAACCTGTCCTTTGCTGACATCTGTGTCACCTCCACCACTGTCCCAAAGATGCTGCTGAACGTCCAGACTCAGAGCCAAGTCATCACCTATGCAGGTTGCATCACACAGATGCACTTTTTCATAATCTTCTCAGGGTTGGACATCTATCTCCTGGCTGTGATGGCCTATGACCGTTTTGTGGCCATCTGTCATCCCCTGCAGTACATGGTCATCATGAACCCCCGGCTCTGTGGACTGTTGCTTTTGGTATCCTGGATTACAAATGTCTTGCATTCCTTGTTACAGACCTCAATTGTGTTGCAGCTGTCCTTTTGTAGAAAGGCAGAAACCTCCCACTTTTTCTGTGAACTCAATCAGATGATCCAACTTGCCTGTTCTGACAGCTTTCTCTATAACATGGTGATGTATTTTGTAGCTGTCTTGCTGGGTGGGGGCCCCCTCCCTGGGATCCTTTACTCTTATTCCAGGATAGTTTCCTCCATAATTGGGATCTCATCAGCTCAGGGCAAGTATAAAGCATTTTCCACCTGTGCATCTCACCTATCAGTTGTCTCCTTATTTTTTTGTTCTGGTCTTGGAGTATACCTCAGCTCTGCTGCTCCCCAGAGCTCCTACACAAGTGCAGTGGCCTCAGTGATGTACACAGTGGTCACACCCATGCTGAACCCCTTCATCTACAGCCTGAGGAACAGAGACATAAAGAGGGTTCTGAAAAGAGTCACTGGGGTTCCAGTGATGTAAGGGCCTATTGTCTGTGGGCTGAAGAATTGCCCATGATTGCAGAATTCACAGTCTCAGAGCCTAGACCTGCTATTCTTCCATCAGACAGTGGAAGTAGATCTGCTCCTTCTATTTTTTTCTGGAATTTACATTTGTTTAAATCATCTTCTCCATACATTTAATTAACTCACTTCTTTAGGCTTCTCCTCTGTCTGTTACACAGTTTTTTCCTTTGTCTATTTTCATATGTCCCCAGTGGTTCCCCAACATTGGAACTTAAACACATGGAAATTTCTGTATCTTACATAAGTCATGTTGGATTTCCTAAAAATATTTTAATTTCAAATGAATTATATCAGACCAGATAAATTTTCCCTAGGTTTACCAAAAGAATAATCATGACTTGTATTCTTCATATGGAAGAAACTATACATGGCCACTAAGCCATTCACATAACTTTATTGTAGATGAAAATACAAAACCTTAGTTTCACCTTGAGTCTGTCAATCTTTTTCCATCACTACCTTCATTCCTCTTCCTGATAATGTGGACTGTAACACTGTTCACTTTATGTCTCAAGCTACTGACAAGGATGCCCAGTCTGGGAAAGTTTGGACACTGCCCTGTGCCCTGTGCTGTGGATATTCTCAAAGTGTCTTCCCTGACCAGAGCCTCTGCTGTGGCTGCACTGGTTCTTGAGTTTTTACTGTGATCACAAGACATTCCTCAGCAACACTCATCAGAGAACTCTAACAACAACAGGTTTATTCCTCACAGGTCCTGGAGGGCACATGGGATGCCCAAAGGCCAATCAGGGAGGTCTCAGAGTGGGAGAAGGCATTGAGACACACACACACACACAGAGAGAGAGACAGAGAGAAAGGGACAGAAGGAAAGAGAGAGTGCGCCTGGGGAATCTGCTTTTATTAGGGTCCATGGCCAGAGTTTAGGGGTTTTCAATTTCACGCATTATTGGAGAATTTTATATGATTAGAATTTAGCTGCTGAAGGGTTAAAAATAGTCACATACATGTCAGTATCAAGGTTACACAGGGCTTTCTGGAGACATACATGAAACATGGCCAGGGCAATTTGAGTGCTTACTTATCTAGTAATTCTTATTTATTTATTTATTTATTTAGTACATTTTTTAATTGGAGTTCGATTTGCAAACATATAATATAACACCCAGTGCTCATCCCATCAAGTGCCCCCCTCAGTGCCCGTCACCAAGTCACCCCAACCCCCTGCCCACCTCCCCTTCTGCTACCCCTTGTTCGTTTCTCAGAGTTAGGTGTCTCTCATGTTCTGTCTCCCTCTCCCACTCATTTTCTTTCCTTCTCCCTTTAATCCCTTTCACTATTTTTTATATTCCCCAAATGAATGAAACCATATAATGTTTGTCCTTCTCCGATTGACTTACTTCATTCAGCACAATACCCTCCAGTTCCAACCATGTCAAAGCAAATGGTGGATATTTGTCGTTTCTAATGGCTGAGTAATATTCCATTGTATACATAGACCACATCTTATTTATCCATTCATCTTTTGATGGACACCGAGGCTCCTTCCACAGTTTATGTGGTAATTCTCTTCCATACCTGACATGTTTATTCAACATGACTGTCTTTGAAATGAATGCCTCAGAAATCAAAAGCTTCATATCATGTACTTACTCTAAAAAAAAATACTCCTGTGTTTCCTAACTGGTCTCATGTTTTTATCCTGTGATTCAGCTGAGGTCCAGAAAGTCCACCATAGCCACTGCAAACACTGATTAGCAAGTATAAATGGAAGTAAATATGCAGTCTACAAGGAAAGATAAATGTGAATAAATAGATTGACCAGGTACGTTCTTAGTGTCAGGGATGACTATAAATATGACTAAACAAAATTTTGAAACACCAAACAAAATATCTTTTTCTTTTTTCATTGTTTTATATCATAGTTCATACTGTGCATCTATTTTTTGAAGCATGGAACACTGGTGCCCACACTGAGAGGGTTATTCACCAAGGTGAAGGATTGCTTAGTGTCTTGTATGTTTTATCACCAAACTATATTCCTGTTTTCAGTTTTGGTTGCTTTTATCATTGTATCTATTCACTAGGACTGTATACAAGCCATTCTGAAAACACGTATCTTCATATGATGAGTTTATAATCTAATGAGATTGTCTGGAGGAGAGTTGTTCTTATCTGTTCTGCACTTCTTATAATTCCCTACATTGTATTTCTAAAGATCATCCAGGATGTTGTGTGGGGCTGTAGTTCATATCTTTCTTCAACTAATATATCATATTTACTCCATGTATATATGGAGGCTAATCTTACACTTTATGGAAAAACTAAGGCACCAAATGTGAATTGCTTTAATTAAATTTTGCTATTTCTATATCCAAATGTGATATTTTGCCTTTTTCCCAGTTATATGACTTTTCTCCCACTCCTGTCAGGTCTGACTTAACAAGTGCTTTTTAACCAACATGAGTCATACACCATTAGAATTTTAAATTCTCACTAATTTTTGGAGCATGATTGTACACCATAAACTGTACATATATTAAATGTACAATTTGCTGAATTGAAGGTGTCATACTTGAATTAAGCATACATACTGTATGGGTGCATTTGTAATAACTCAAGAGACACAGGAAGCTTTATCTGCATTTTTATGTTCTTGTTAAAAATGCAATTCACCTGGATATTATTTTCTTATTTCTGAAGGTAATGTGGAATTTGAAATGAATGTTGTCAGGAATAAATAAAATGTTAGATACTCTTTATCATGTCCAAAGAAAACATTTGAGAATGAGAAGCATGTATATATACATGAGTGTATCTGCTTGTGCACATGTCTCTTTCAAATAAACACATACACACACACGTGTACACATACACACACTGGATTATTATCCCATCTATCATGTTGAAAGAAAACTTGAGAGAAAGTTGCAGAATATTGAAATGAAAAGGAATGTTTGCATGAACATGAAATAGAAAGAATGTAGAAATTTTGATAGAAAGATTTAAAGTAGAATGAGTGACTTAATTTTTAGAGTAGGGCACCTGGGTGGTGCAGCCATTGAGTGTCTGACTCGATTTGAGCTCAGGTCTAGGTCTCAGAGTCCTGGGATTGACCAGGTGTCAGGCTCAATGCTCTGTGCAGAGACTGCTTGAGTTTCTCTTTCCTTCTTTCTCTCCTGACACTTCTCTTCTCTTCTTTCTCTTCTCTTCTCTTCTCTTCTCTTCTCTTCTCTTCTCTTCTCTTCTCTTCTCTTCTTTCTCTTCTCTTCTCTTCTCTTCTCTTCTCTTCTCTTCCTCTCTCTTCTCTTCTCTTCTCCTCTCCTCTTCTCTTCTCCTCTTCTCTTCTCTTTTCTTCTTTCACTTCTCTTCTCTTCTCTTCTCTTCTCTCTCTTCTCTTCTCTTCTCTCTCTCTTTCTCTCTCTCTCTCTCTCTCTCTTAACTCTCTCTCAAGTAAATAAATAAAACTTTAGGGAGGGGCAAGATGGCGGAAGACCAGGGTCCCCAAATCGCCTGTCCCCACCAAATTACCTAGATAACCTTCAAATCATCCTGAAAATCTACGAATTCGGCCTGAGATGTAAAGAGAGACCAGCTGGAACGCTACAGTGAGAAGAGTCCGCGCTTCTGTCAAGGTAGGAAGACGGGGAAAAAGAAATAAAGAAACAAAAGGCCTCCGAGGGGGAGGGGCCCCGCGAGGAGCCGGGCTGAGGCCGGGGCGAGTGTCCCCAGGACAGGAGAGCCCCGTCCCGGAGGAGCAGGAGCTGCACCAACCTTCCCGGGGGAAAGGAGCCCGCAGGGAGTTGGAGCAGGACCCAGGAGGGCGGGGATGCCCTCGGGCTCCCGGGGACACTAACAGACACCTGTGCCCGGGAGAGTGCGCCGAGCTCCCTAAGGGCTGCAGCGCGCACGGCGGGGACCGACCGGAGCAGCTCGGAGGGGCTCGGGCGGCGGCTCCGCGGAGGGGGCTGCAGGGCGGGAGCGCGAATCCAACAGCGCAGGCCCCGGAGCACAGGGCGCCGGGACACAGCCCAGGATCCGGCCTCCCCCCGGGACAGGCAGAGGCCGGGAGGGCCCAGGACAGCAAGGACGCTCCTGCCCCGAGCTGAGCAGATCAGCGGCCCCGCCCCGGAGCCTCCAGGCCCTGCGGACGGAGAGCCGAGAGCCCCGAGCCCCGTAGTTCCTGCGGAGGCTGAATCCAGGCTTCCAGAGTTGCCATAGCAACTGCGGCTGTTCCTCCTGGGGCCTCACGGGGTAAACAACCCCCGCTGAGCCCAGCAGCAGGCAGGGGCAGAGCAGCTCCCCCAAGTGCTAACACCTGAAAATCAGCACAGCAGGCCCCTCCCCCAGAAGACCAGCTAGAGGGACCAGTGATACTCCCCCGTGTTCCAATACAACTTGTTTTTGGCCACTCTGCACTGAGCAAAATGACTAGAAGGAAAACCTCACCTCAAAAGAAAGAATCAGAAACAGCCCTCTCTCCCACAGAGTTACAAAATCTGGATTACACTTCAATGTCAGAAAGCCAATTCAGAAGCACCATTATACAGCTACTGGTGGCTCTAGAAAAAAGCATTAAGGCCTCACGAGACTTCATGACTGCAGAATTTAGATCCAATCAGGAAGAAATTAAAAATCAGTTGAATGAGATGCAATCCAAACTAGAGGTCCTAACGACGAGGGTTAACGAGGTGGAAGAACGAGTGAGTGACATAGAAGACAAGTTAATGGCAAAGAGGGAAACTGAGGAAAAAAGAGACAAACAATTAAGGGACCATGAAGACAGATTAAGGGAAATAAATGACAGTCTGAGGAAGAAAAACCTACGTTTAATTGGGGTTCCCGAGGGCGCCGAAAGGGACAGAGGGCCAGAATATGTATTTGAACAAATCCTAGCTGAAAACTTTCCCAATCTGGGAAGGGAAACAGGCATTCAGATCCAGGAAATAGAGAGATCCCCCCCTAAAATCAATAAAAACCGTTCAACACCTCGACATC